AATAGCCAAAAGAAGGACTCAATACACCATTAGCTGCTAATGTATATCAAAATGACCCATTGAAGCAATAGTACGGCTGCAAAATGTGCTGTTTTTTTTCATTAAAATTTACTCAAACATTATCATTTTGAAATACAGTAAGAAATTCATGTCAAAAGCCTGAGAAAAATGAATATTCTTTCCTCACACAAATTTAACGTAAAACGAGTCTGCCCAAAACTAAAGGGTCGTACAAACCGGAGCTATTCTGTTTATTTGTACCACGTAAATTCTGAATGGCACGTGCCTAGACTGTCGAGTTTACAATGATAATGAAATATGAAAGACGATAAATTTTCAAAAGAAAAATGTAAAAAAAAAAATTCGGTTAATTGTTAATCGGAAACATTTTAATCTGCTTTCAGACGAATTTTAAAGAATTAAAAGTACAGATGTTGAGGCCAAAATAAAATTATAGTTTGTTTGGAATTGCCTCCCTCCTCATTGAAATGTCCCCTCCTGAAAAAAATTTATTGACCAAAAGTAGGAAGATTTTTTTTTATTTCATCAATTTTTTTTGCCTATGAAGTGTATCACATGCACCATACAAAACACTGAAATATAGTGTCAGATCTATGTAAAATTAGGGTTTTTTGCTGATGTAGATACAGTACTCTTTTTAAAAAAAGTCAGAAAATGTATTTACTGTTTACGGAGATTTTTTATCAAAAATTTAAAATTTATCTCCAATTTAAAAAAAATAATAATTACCCTCCCTCCCTCCTGTGTCTGAAACTCTTCAGGAGGCAATTCCAAACAAACATTTTTTTAAGGATGGCCTGACATTTTGTGTTTTGGGGTCGATCCGAGAAGGTAAAAACTACCAAAATATACAGACCCTGAGACGTGCTACTACCCCAAAAAAGCGTGTGACTTTCGTGCGCTTTCCGTTTCGTGCAAACCGTGTAGCGTTTCGTGTAAACCGTGCAGCGTTTCGTGCAAATCGTGTAGCGTTTCGTGTAAACCGTGCAGCGTTTCGTGTAAGCTCGAAAGCGTTTCGTGCAAACCGTGTAGCGAGCGTGCGAAAAGCTTGTGAGAAACGTGCGACTTTCGTGTAAGAACCGTGTGAGAAACGTGTGACTTTCGTGCAAGAATCGTGTAAGATTCATTCGGAAGTCATTTCATTTTAAATATGGCTATCGATGGGTCAGGATGTCAAATTGTATTAGAATTTTGTTATTGAATTGATTATGCTTGTGATATTTTAGGAGTCAAAACAAAACAAAAAAAGGAACAACAATATGAAATTACACGGTAATGTATAATATGTATTTGTTTGTTTTCTTTTCCTTCTTAGGAAAATGTGATCATATTAATCAACTATGTACAACAATTTCAAGGGCATTGAATTCAATATACTATCCACGCGATCATGGCTTCTTAAATATTTTTTCTCAAATAAAGAAAGAAATACCGATATTTTTTTTTTAATTTTAAGCAAAAATAAATCAGGACTCCGCTCTTGTCTTTACATTTTAAGTACGTGAAAGAAAGTTTTGAAACGATGTGTCATTTAACACTTTTTGATACATAAAACTTTTTGCTCATTATTGTCAAACAAATAGATTTTATAATTTTAATTCACATGCACTGACGACCACGTTTAGAAACGAGGGAGGGGGGGTTAAATTACTAGTAGTCTTTCATTTTTTGTTGTAACTATCAATCTAATATTAGTTTAATAAATGATTTAGTTTCTATTCTTTTTTAAACCCTTTGTTAAATATGTGCGCAGATACACCCCTTGAAAATGTATTGGAATCTTCCTTCCGCCTTTCAACTGTGATCAAGGTCATTTACAACAGCGATCACGGGCTCCGAGTTCATGGTAACTGAAACCTGTTTTGCTAAATGTACATGTTGAGTTCACAGCTTAATGACACCTGAAAATTACGACTAGATTTTATTATTTTTTTTTAATAAAATGGTTCTATAAGCATTTAATGGGTAAAACTTATAATTCAGCGGATTTCATCTTTTATTTGTAAATCCGTATTTCTAGCCGTAAACAGTAAAATAAACAGAACTGATTTGATAGTCTTTTCATGAATATCATGTAAGAAAAGGTTAGGAGTAAATCATGAATAATTGAATATGTTATTTGTTTTATAAATCACGTACTTTTTATTTCATCTAAGATATTTCAGTGTTTTTGTAATATATCTGAATGCCGGTGTAAAGATCGATCTAATTGTATGTACAATGTATAGTCAAATGCTGCGACTAATAATTAATGTACACATATATACATACGTTTAGTCTAGTTTTGAAATGAAGGATTTTACAGTATGATGGGTATACTGATGTTTTTTTGATAAGCTTCATGTAAAAAGAGAAATAGAATAAAAATAGATTAAGACATCACATTTAACCCCCCCTTTACCGGTTTCCCTCCTATAGAAAATACCTAAGATAAATTTAAAAAAAAAATGTATCAATAATCGTTAGTAGAGTATATGGGCAAATTTATTTACTTAATCAAAATCAAGAAAAATAATCCGCCTAAGGAAATCAAACACAATATAATCAATATTATTTAAAATCAATGAGTTCATATTCTTGCAGTAAGAAATCGAATTTGTGTTTAATTTATTAAATAATTCTCGTAAAAATATTACATTGAAATGAATGACTAATGTATAAAAATTGTATCTTATTAAAAAGTCATTCATAATATCGGCATATCGTTTTTAAACAGTTGGATAAATAATAAATACGAAATGACAATTATTTATTAATTAATTACAACTGTCAGAGTATAAAATATTTCTATCGGTTTATATAATACTAGTGTACTGATATTTATACAGCTGCAAAGCAAAATTTGGATTTGTGAAAGATTTCCATTTAATTAATGATTAAACCGTAATAATGCCCGAGATATTCCGAGTAGAAAATCCAAACCGAGGCCAAAACGTGCGAAAATCGTGTACAAAGCGTGTGAGAAACGTGTACAAAGCGTTTCGTGCAGCCTTTCGTGTAAACCGTGCAGCCTTTCGTGCAAAGCGTTTCGTGTAAACCGTGTAGCGTTTCGTGCAAACCGTGTAGCGTTTCGTGTAAACCGTGCAGCGTTTCGTGCAAACCGTGTAGCGTTCGTGTACCGTTCGTGCAGCGAGCGTGTGGGGTAGTAGCACGTCTCAGGGTCTGTACGTAATCGCGGCAAAACGTCAACTATATTTACAGAACATTAAAATTTGCACTTTAAATGGCAATAATATTATTTTATCATATGTGTAATTTTATGTCAAGTTTACACTCTTTTTTTCCTTGAAAGCGATGGAGACATTAAAATTGATATGCCATGTACCAGGAGCACCTTTGCAAGACCTGCGTGAGTGTTGCCGAGCTCGTGTATCTTTTCATCCAACGATTAATTACTCCCCAATTAAAATTTATTTAGGAAGTTTGCTTGTTCATGCTCAGTTTTTAGTTTCTTTTTTTTTTTGGTTGACTTTATCATGAAGTAAAGCGGGCCTACCAGGCTACCGTTTTTTTACCGTTTTGTTACTACGAATAAATGGCGCGGAATGTGGAACCCTGAACGCACATATATATCTATATATATATAGAATAATTATTTATTTTAATGAAATAATCAAAATAAGTTAATTATGAAACCTGCAATTTTCTGAAGTTTATACATATATACAAGGGTTGTCCCATAAAATCGTGGACAAAGCGTTTTTCTCGAAAAGTAATGGGCGCACTAAGCTGAAATTTTCAGTAAATCTTTATTCATCATATCTAAGTGCATCATTATGTTTTTGATAATATATAGACAAAAATAAAGATTTAATTATGCTTGAATGTGCACAGGGTACGGTCCTACGGCGCACGGTAAAAATAACAAAGTTATGCTAGAGAATACACAATAATGAATTCGTAATAAACATTTTCAATGCATAAAAATTGGATGAAAAATATTATAATTTGATTCCTTAATCATTTTTGTAGTCTTTATTAAAATTTCAAGGCATTTGGTTAATTTTTGGCAGTTTCCCGAGCATTCGAAATTGGAAAGTGGTAAACACAATACACAAAAAATCGCGATTTTTGATGACGTTACGGCGCACCAGAGAGCAGTTCAGTTAGATTTGGATGTTGTAAATACACCTTAAGAGACTTTAAATGAATACAGAAGAAAGAAAATATGACAAAAATCATCAAATCTTTAGAATATAAAAGAAATGGAAGGTTTCTTAGCGAATTCTTTTTTATTGAGCTCTCAGGTAGTACAAAATATACGGACAAACTGCTATTGTAATAGCAAAAGACGCTGTCATTGTCGACCGTTGATATGAGATTCTCTGTTATTTGAATGCTGGTGAGAATACTGTCCAAAACTTGCTAAAATTTTTTAAAAGATTGCATGTGTGTGCCAGATGGGTTCCTTTTCTGGTTATAGACACTCACGTACGTGAATCAATGGAATTTTTTAGAATTTAAATGGGGCTTATCCAACTTTACTTTAGCAAAGATGAAACGTGACGTTGTTTTAGACACTTTCAAGTTATCATCTATGCGCCGTAGGGCGATACAATACATAACATAACATCTAATAATTTGTTTATTTATCCATATATCTATTTGAAATTTGCTCTGTATATTTATAATATATGTACTAAGGAGTAGTGAAAATTTCAGAACGCAGTGATGATTATTTTTCAAACTAGACAACTTGTCCACGATTTTACGGGACAACCCTCGTATATAGAAAATATATTCAAAATCCTATCGAATTTTTTTTTCAGGTCTGTTTTTTATGCGATGAGGTAAGTCCAGTGCACGATGTTTTATCAATATTATAGACATCGCTGTATATACCTCTTTTTTCATAACACATATATACACATTCGATTGCTCCTCATTCAACTAGATGTTACATTGTAACTGTAACTATTGTAACCATTTCAACATTTAAATGTTGGATTTCAAGGCAACATTACACTCTCTAATTTTGATTAAATTGTTAATACCCGGTAAAGCAATGTTTGGCAATATCTTTGATTATCTCTTGGTGTTAAGCTATATCAAGTGGAAATCTGTCACCATTTTATTCTTTTTTCTTGTTGACATCGCAATGTTGAACGATATCGAGTCGAAATTGCTTCATCGATGCATTCTGTTTTCTTGTTTACATCGTTCACATCCTCGTTATCGCCCACAAAGATTTTGAGATATAAGATTTTTCATTGAATTGTGCACAACATATCCAAAATTAAAATAGGCGACGACTGAGGACACATTTTATGAAGTGAAGTAACTTTTGAAATTGGTCATTTTGAGGTTTTTTGTTTAAATAGAGAAATGCTTCAAAGTACGTCATATTTCCAGAATGGTACTCCTTCATGCTATATTCTTTTCTGATCTATCACAGTCATAAACTCAATATTTAAACCAGTTACAGTTTTTTTGAAAACACCAAAGTTTTAGGGCACAATAAAGCTAGACCCGTATCTTCTTCTTTAAATGATAATTCAGATCTCCTTTCATAAGAATAAATTTTAAAGCTATTCAATTATAATATTTATAGCATACAGTGGTGTATATGAATTTAATGATACTAAAATCTTACTGCATTTTCCTTTAATAAGCGTAATGTCATCTACTGCAACATGTGCTGATTGTGCTCCATTATCACCTCCAACTGACTCAAAGAAAATCTGAAAAGAGTTTATAATATATATAGCACTAAAATGACCTACGACAGAAAAAATAAAAATCGATCAACAAGGAAAGAAAACATATTATTTAAACACACACACACACACACACACACACACACACACACACACACAGGTTAAGGGAAGTAAAGATGAGAGGTTTGGCAAACCACCACGTACGTGTACGTGTATCAGATGAAAGCTGTGCATTACGTCATCACTTTTGCTAATGCTAATAAAAAAATTCAACATGTATCTACGTACGTGTAGATCACCGAGTACCCATTAGTGTAAACTTGTAGCTTGTATTTTCTTCAGTGCTATTTATTTTAATCAAAGTATGTGTTTTCTAAAACCTAAAGCTCAAGTACTGATATAAGGAGGTTTTTTTTTTTTATTTAATTAAGAGATAAAAACACTTATATTGACTTTCAAAATAGGATTTAGCAAATCAAAGTTATAAAATTAATTTTAATTTATTTTCTTAAATATATACTGTATTTACTCGATGAAAATAGTGATGTACATTATAAATTATAGTAGATAACGTATAAAAATACAAAATTATCCGAAGATAGAGAAGAATTCATTTAAAGCATTTACAAGTACACGTTCAAGCTATAAGAAATGTGGTGTACATGTAAAGTGTACGTATAATTCTAACTTGTACTGTTCATGTATACGTTGGTCTGCGAAATGTTTCTTATATTCTTTGAAAACGGTTTTAGTTTTTTTTTTTATATAAAGAATGAAACTTAAACCGTATGGAAACGTTTTACTTGATCAAAGCATGCTGTATACGACCAGGAAACTTACAATATCATTTTTTTGAACCTGGATATCAACTTCAGTATAATTCCATTCTTCATTTTGCATGTTGGAAAAAACATTTCCGAACGATTTTACTACACCAGAGTTTTTGGTGTAAAGTTGTAAGCGTACACCAATAGTATTCTGGAGATAGATCCAATACCGTAGACACCAGTCACTTTCTTTGAAGTCTGTAACAGAATTTTTGCCGAAAATTGAAATTAAAAAGTTGATAACGAAATACAAGATATTTTAATCAATAAAATCATTAAAAGAATTACATGCTCAACTTTAAATAATGACAAGCTTTAGCCAGGTGAATTTTATTAGAAAAATCTAAATGGTAAAAATCAGCCTATGTGATATTGCTAATTTTTTGTCATTTTGATCTTCCTCTTAAAATTCGAAGTTTTTTTTCAATCGGGAAAGAAACGCATTCAATTTTCCCGTCATTTTTGCAAGCTTTTAGTACTCGTAATATAACGTGATTGTCCGCAACAAAGCGTTAACACTCGTCTCTAATGGCATTTACTCTCATATGTCCGTATCAAATCGTCTTTGAGCGGGAAAGAACAGTGTCAGCACGTGAGCAGATGGCCACGCAAAGCGTCACAGATAGTGACAGAACGTGAGATACCGCAACGAATCGCCAATCAGCGGGATATCTGTCCTTTCCGAGATTGATCCCGATGATCACGATATACAAGCCAGATTAGTTACGTTTATATACGATGCAGCTGAGGTTAGTAACGATATAATGCGATTTGCTGCGATGATAACGATTAAAATCTAATCGTGTTAATCGTAGAAAAATTTTTGACAGTCCAAAAAAAATTCACGATCAACACGATAGTCACGAGTGAACACAAGATTTGTTTCGGTTTGATACGAGAACTACGATTTGTCCACGTTCGAGTCCCCGATCTCAATCGTGGCGCCAATCGTGATAGTGGGAACATAGCATAAAGTTTATATTACACTTTTAGCACAAAGGTAACATATTCTGAAATTTGTTTTCACCTGTAAACCTTTACTTAATGTGATTTGTCTAATTTTTTTTGAAATATTACTAAAATTTTCCAAGTCTATCTAATTTTCCAGTTCTTCGGAGAAAAAATAAGTGTTAATTTCCCATATTATAAAATCCATAGATCCGCCTATAATCCCTATAATCAATTAGAGTTATTCCCCCTGAGTCAACTTCCGTTAATCCCTTTTCATTCACAGACTATATGAATGAGGTTGGTGCAATTTTAAAGGATAATTTTTTTGCAAATTTAGATATTTAGAAAAATAGTTAATGGGTATAATACATATGGATGTTTTTGTTATCTATTTGGTAGTTGTTTGCTGCAATCAATTTAGGAGTATTTATTCATGATTTCCCGATGATCCTTGATTTTATAATGATAATTTTTTCTAGCGTCTGTTGTGGCCATTTTGTATTAGCCGACCACTTTGTATCTATATAAGTTTTCATTTAAACAGATTATATGATGTAAGTATGTGATAAGATATAATATTAAGTCAATTATCTTGATCGTTAGGATTTATATCATATTGCCTTGGCTTAATTAATTTTTCTTTGTTTTATAAATTGATCCGACACGTTTCAGATTTCTATACCAAGGGGAGATAAAAAAAAATTAGGCTAACTTTATAAAAAGAAATAAGCATGTGAGAATGAGGAGATAATTAATTTAAATTTCTTTTCTTACAAATATACAAAATAATATATACATATATATATATATATATATATATATATAAATAATTATTTTATTTTATTTTCTGAACACGATGCCACCGAGAGCTAAGAAGCGCAGAATGGCTCAACCATCAGCGACTGTCACACAGCAGCCAAGTGGTAGTCAGGCTACAGTGTCTGTGAATTCCCAGACGTACTCGTCGACGGCGTCGGCAGGATGTCCAGTACCAATACCACCGACCCAGGCTCCATCAACTTCTGTCGTGGCGGAAGCGCAACCCATGTTGACAAGAAGTGCAGGGCCATCCTTTGCACCGACCACCTCTGGAGCAACAATCTCAACTCCAACAGATGTTGGCACCATCCCTGCTCCTGTCCCATCAATACATATGATTGGTATGAATGTTTCTAGCACAGTCAAACAACGTATTATTAGTGGGCAGTATATTGATTTGGCCACATTGGTAACACCAAAATCAGGGTCTGATGAAAAGAAATTAGTTATGAATAGTATGGGTGAGATAATTTATAAAGATGCCAACCCAAAAAAGGTAGAAAATATTGAGCAATGGACTGACCTTATGCTCATATTTGCAAGTGTGTACTTGAGTGCACATCCCGCCAAGACTCTTGACCTACTTAAGTACATACAGACCGTAAGAATGGGTGTTAGCAGGGGGCTATATCTTGGAAAGAATATGATACGCAGTTTAGGCTGCGCAAAGAGCAAAATCCTGTGTCTTCCTGGGGTGAAATTGACTCGGAATTATGGTTAATGTATATGCATTCTGGGCCTGCTTATAACGTAACAAATGCACCCAAAACCAATAATGATAAATGCTACAATTTCAATTACAAGGGATCTTGTGACAAATTCCCATGCATGTATAAACACAGCTGTATTCGATGTGGTAGTAACCATCCACAGATACATTGCATTACACAAGCGTCAAACACTGGGTCCGCAAAAATATTTCGCCAACAAAATTCAAGTGGTCAATTCTATGGACAGTCAAGTTTTCGTCCACAAACCACCAATGCAAATACCAACTATAAGGGGTATTCAACCAATGCAAATACCAATTATAAGGGGTATTCTAGCAGCAACACCCAGCGCCCCACCTACTCAAGACCAAGATTCCGCACCCCGCAATCTATGGCGTCTAGGTTCAACGCCTATTAATGTACACGCCCTTAAAAAATGTCTCGTCCACTATCCTAACAGAATCATAGCAAATCGCCTAATCCAAGGGTTCTCTCAAGGGTTTAAACTTCATTATCATGGGCCTAGATTACCAATTCAATGTAATAATTTGAAATCCGCGAACGATCATCCTAATGAACTTAAAGAGAAAATCGACAAAGAAATTGAAATGGGGAGGATACAGGGTCCTTTCACGCAAATACCAATTTCTAATCTTAGGTTATCTCCAATTGGGTTAGTGCCGAAGGGGGATAATTTGGGCTGGCGTCTAATAACACACCTCTCTTTCCCGAAGTTTAGTAGTGTGAATTCATACATAGATCCTTGTGAAACTGCTGTACAATATTCATCCTTTGATTCAGTAATTCAGATGATTGCTAAATTAGGGAAGGGGCTTTCATAGGTAAGCGAGACATAAAATCCGCATTTCGACTTCTTCCAATACTTCCCGGCGATTTTGATCTCCTGGGTTTTAAATTTCAGGGTAATTATTTCATAGACAAATGTTTACCTATGGGGTGCTCCATTTCGTGTAAGGTTTTCGAGGATTTTTCTACAATTTTGCAGTGGGCTACGATACAGCGCTCTAAAACATCAACAACTGATCATGATCTAGATGATTTTATATTTGCTGGGAGGGATGCCCATTCTTGTCAAGATCTTATGTCGAATTTTCAAGACGTCTGCGAAGATATAGGTGTTCCTATTGCCGAGGACAAATCTGAAGGCCCTACTATGGTTATGACATTTTTAGGTTTTGAGATAGATACTTATCATATGCTAGTTAAGATCCCCAATTCAAAATGCTTAGAGCTACAGGGTATTTTACACCATCTCGTTGTTCAACGCAAGACAACACTCCAACAATTACAATCTGTTTTAGGTAAACTGAATTTCTTTACAAGAGCCATAAGACCAGGTAGGGCATTTCTGCGTCGGCTTTATAATGCTACACTAGGAGTTTCAGAATTACATTATCGCATAAGGATAACTCAATCAATGCGACAGGACTTGTACATGTGGATTAGTTTTCTTGAATCATTTAATGGGACTGTGTATTTTTTAGATATTGAGTGGACGTCAGACAACAACATTAATTTTTACACAGATAGTTCCGGTTCGTCTTACTTGGGATGTGGTGCTTATTTCAATGGGGAATGGTGTTTTTACCCTTGGCCAGAGACTTGGGCGTCCAATGACGTACTTAAAGACATGACCTTTTTAGAGTTAGTTCCGGTGGTCTTGGCCGTCTATTTATGGGGTAACAAAACTCGCTAATAAAAAGATCATTCTCCATATAGACAATCAAGCTGTAGTCGCTATAATAAATAAACTCACTTCCAAATCAGAGCGGGTCATGACACTACTTAGACCATTTGTCCTTGCTTCTATGAATTATAATATTCTGTTTCGTGCAGTTTACATACCAAGTAAAGACAATGTAGTAGCTGATTCAATTTCTCGTAAGCAGTGGGCCAGATTCCGACAAGCAGCTCCACATGCCAGGAAACACCCTTGCCCAGTACCCCTATCTTTCCGCAACATCATCTCCAGCCTGAGTTTGTTAAACTTTTAGACGCCTCAGTATCTGACTCATTGATTGCACGCCATGGCCCCCTACATTAAACTCAGTCGTGCAATTCGTTTTGCATTCATCTTCATCCGGCCTCGCATATGGTACCGTGAGGTCATACTTGTCTGCCATTTCATTTTATTGTAAATTGCAGAGTGTTCACGATCCAACCCCAGAGTTCTTAGTTACAAAGTTATTGCAGGGCATGAAACGTTTGAAACATAAAGTAGATACTAGATTGCCAATAACGAAAACAATTTTGCTATATATTATTCAAGTTCTGCCCATTATATGTACCAATGCTTTTGAAACAGCTCTTTTCTCGGCTGCATTCTCCCTGGCATTTCATGGATTTTTAAGAGTTGGCGAATTAACAGTTAATACAAGAGAAGGTGATCAACAAAACACAATTCAAATCGACAATTTGTCCATTAATCACGAAACGCAATCTCTCTTACTGACTATCCAGTATTCGAAAACGGACCAGTTAGGTAAAGGCACAGTACTACAAATAGATAAGCAGGGTGATATCGCATGTCCATATCAGCTCATTACTAAATACGTCAGCATCCGTCCAGAGGGTTCAGGTCCATTATTTCGACACTTCGATTTATCCCCACTCACACGATATCAATTTACGGGGGTACTTTGTAAGGCAGTAAAGCACCTAAATTTGCCTGGTATCTCAGGATACAAATCTCACTCTTTTCGTATCGGCGCGAGTACTGATCTCGCGTTAAAAGGATTTTCAACTCATGACATTCAGAGATCTGGTCGTTGGAAATCTGATTCTTACAAATCCTACATTCGCATACAAAAGTTTTAATCTAATTTTAGATATACGGACAATATGGTTGGTGGGTTCATCAATAATCAAGCACGCCTTTTTGGAAGCTGTCTTAAGACCAGGTGGTACAAATTTGACATTAGAAAGAAAACACATCTCCCTGTGGTGGCAGGGTTATAGTGGCCTCCAGTTATAAAGTAAAACTAAACAAAAGATTAGAACTCTTGAAAAGGTGGGCCCTGTACCTAATTTCATCCTTATACATTGTGGGGGGAATGACTTGGGCAATGTATCGATCAGAAAAATAAGGGTGGTTGCAAAGCAGTTGGTTTTATTTCTAAGGAATCACTTTCGAAACAGTAGGATTATATGGTCATTTATACTTCCGCGTCTCCAATGGCGCTATTCAGCAAATTTAAAAGCTATGGAAAATGCACGCAAACGGGTTAATTCTGGTATAGCTGCAATTGTCTTGCAATCTGGCGGCGCAATAATTCGCCATACAGACATTAAACCTGATCCAGCTTTGTTTTTACAGGATGGGGTACACTTGTCCTCGTTGGGGAATAACATTTTTCTAAACTCTCTCCAGGGGGGACTTGAGGCCATCGTTGCGTATGGTCAATCCTGCTTTCCCAATTAGCAAGGGTCCTGGGTACGGCTGTTCGTATATGCCGCTCTACCCCCACCATGGTGGCGGAGTTCCCTGGATGAGTTTCATTCTGATCCTCATCTCAGGGAACTTGTGGCGTATAAGCGGCATTTTGGTAATTATATTGTAAGCTTTGACCTCTGCACCTCCCAGGGTCAATGCTTTCTATATATATATATATATATGGTGAACTTTGAACTTTGATGTTGTGAACTTTGAACTTTTGATGTTGTATGAACTTTGATTTACCACTATATGAACTTTGACCTTTGGTAATGACCTTGATATATGATTTGCTTTGATGTTGATTGTTGTTTGTGCATTTGATTGGGGCATGCTCTTGTTGGCTGCCCATTGCCCATATTGATTGTTTTGCATTTGAAACTAAATAACAGCCGTGCCCATAATATCGCCACACTTTAATAAAATTAATTTCAAGTTACCATTTGTTTGAGTTACACTTTTCTGAGATACTATCACATCCAATTCTATTCGAATTGGAGGCTTTAATCGAAGAAAGTGCTAATTTCCCATATTATAAAATCTATAGATCCGCCTATAATCCATATAATCAATTAGAGTTATTCCCCCTGAGTCAACTTCCGTTAACCCCTTTTCATTCAAAGACTATATGAATGAGGTTGGTGCAATTTTAAAGGATAATTTTTTTGCAAATTTAGATATTTAGAAAAATACCCTCCTCACCCAACCCTTATTCGAATGGATTTTTGCGCTGTGTTTTTCTTTCTATTGCAGCTGTCCTACAAAAGGATCACTTAATATCAAATGGTACGGCTGTTACAAGAAGAAGTCTACCTGGAGACCAACTTAGATGAAATTTTCGCAAACCTTGGCCACTGCTCCTCCCAGGGCCAATGTTTCCTAAACAGTGACTGATATATAAACGACAAGTAAAGGAGGCGCATAAGCGGCATTTCGTAATAAATATATCGTAAATATCACCTCTGGTGTATAAGCGGCATTTTGGTAATTATATTGTAAGCTTTGACCTCTGCACCTCCCAGGGTCAATGCTTTCTATATATATATATATGGTGAACTTTGAACTTTGATGTTGTGAACTTTGAACTTTTGATGTTGTATGAACTTTGACTTACCACTATATGAACTTTGACCTTTGGTAATGACCTTGATATATGATTTGCTTTGATGTTGAATGTTGTTTTTGCATTTGATTGGGGCATGCTCTTGTTGGCTGCCCATTGCCCATATTGTTTGTTTTGCATTTGAAACTAAATAACAGCCGTGCCCATAATATCGCCACACTTTAATAAAATTAATTTCGAGTTTCCATTTGTTTGAGTTACACTTTTCTGAGATAAATAGTAAATACCGTAAATCTGGAAATTTTTGCTGTAGATAATTTTTTAGCTAATTTGCAAGTTCATTGCATTCGCAAAAATATTTTTCTTAAAAATAAATTACCAATGAGAAAATGTTAACAAAGCAGCGGTCATTCGCAAAATTTTGAAACGTTAAAATTTATCAACAGCATTTTGACCCGAATTCGCAAAATAAAATCGACGTAAAAATTTCCAGATTTACGGTAACCATAATTACATTTGTCAGATAAATAAAAACGTACTAATTGTTATCCCGATTACGAAAGTATTTTTTATTACAAACAAGCACTTATATTTTCTTTGAGCACCATATCTTAACTGCGCACCATTTTATTAACTCTAGTTTTCTTAATTCGTATTGCCTCTCGAACCGTTTAAAAAAAACAGGAATCTAGGACCAGAATTATTTTGAAAGTAAAGTTTACCAAACTTAAACATTTTCAGGACTTTTTCTTACGGAGCCGAAACGTTCCAGAATATTATTTAAATCTGCTTTGAAGTCGTTATGAGTCATGATCAGAAACCCTTTATAAAATCTTTTGGGATTTGTGCTGCACCTTTTGTGCAAAAGTAATATTCTTCAATTTTTCATATAAATTAAAAACTTCTCGAACCATCACACATGTTAAATAAGTAAAGGTTTATTGACAGGTAAATTACATGTACAAGTAATTTACATTTTCTATAGATATATTTCCTTGTCAATAATAAAAATGAATTTCATTAGCTCTGCATTGAGGGTATCCTTAACATGAGAATTATTTTAGTCCAGGAAGCAACTACTTAATACTTACCAGGAAAGTCTATATTTGACCTAAGAATTGCTCGCCTTTCTGATGTATAGTCACCACTGCTGTCGTTAACAAATGCATAATTTGACCCTTGATAAGCTTTCTGTGGTCCAATTGTTGTGTTGCCCTAAAATATTCACTGACAATTATGTATATTTTTTTAAGAAATGTGCTTGATGAAACAGGAAAATGTGTGTTTATATTTTTACTAAAACATAAGTGTTGTCTTCTGTCAAAGTAGAAAAGCGGTTATCATAAAGTGATATCATTTTAACGATTAAATTTAATATTTTCCCCCAAATCATTTAAATAAATTACAGCTCTAAGTTATTAATTGGTCGATTTTGTGCAACTAAAAAATATTGAGATTCAGAAAAGGGATTTAAATCATGAACATTTATACATACTAAAGTAATTGTCCAATCAAGGTCATCGTTTTTTGCTTGAAAGAGGAAACATGGATCACCAAGCTCAAATGTGCAAGAAAAAAAAGTACCTGGAAGAAAATAAAAGATTGAAATGAACTTAAGTAGAGAACCTTGAATTTATTTTAATAACATAATACAGATTATATAGTACTTACTACAAGCTACCTCTGTAACATTTTCAAAGCTGCAGTCCACCTCCTTGAAGAGATATTCGTTTTTTAAACACTGGTATGACATACAAGAAGTGAAGTCTTGGTTTGTTTTGTATTGTATTCTATTGATAAAGTCTTCAACTTTAATAGAAAAAATATAACAGTTCATTTCGTAAACGTTAAAAAAGAATACCCTGCAGGGTTAAGGGTCAGCTGAGTATCACGAGTTTTTCAGACTATGAGGGTTCCCTGTAACTGACTTAATTAATTTGACTTATATATATGGCACACCAAATTCACAAAAATGAGCAAATCATAGTTTCACAATCGATAAACTAGGTTTATCGGTTGTAAACTATAGTTTACGGACTGTAAACTATAGTTAACAACGTTAATCTATATTTTACATCTGTAAACTATAGTTAACGCGATTATCGATGTTTCACAACCGTAAACTATACTTAACACCGAAAACTATCATTTGCGATTGCCATAGATAAGCTGATAAATACAGTTTCACGATTTGTAAACTATAGTTTACAAACCGTTAACTATAGTTAACGATCTGATAAATATGATAAACAACTCTTAACTATAGTTTACGATTGTAAACTATAGTTTACAAACGTGAATCTATGTTTATCAACAAAATCTATTGTTAACGTTTTATTACAGACAGATAAACTTAGATTAGCATTCGTAAACTATAGTTAACAATCGTTAAATATAGTTTTACAGTTGAAAACTCTACTTAACGAATCGTTAACTATAGTTTACGGTTTGTAAACTATAGTTTACAGTCGATAAACCTAGTTTATCAATTGTGAAACTAAGTTTAGCTCTTTTTTGTGAATTTGGCGTGTCATATATATAACATACATTTTGCAGTTTGATGAAAACTTATTTAACATATTTCTGCAGCTTGTCCCCTAAGGACCATTGCTCGAAGTAAGACTTATAATAAGGTCCGAAACTTGTATTAGAACAAACTTGAATCTGCATTACCCGAAAATCTTTGCTGGTATTTCAGTACCCTGCTGTTCAGAAGGAATTTTTAATATATTCTCTTTTTACATTTCCATTTAAATGTTCTATTTCTTATTGTGACTCAACCCATCCCTGGGAGCAATAATCTAAACAAAATTTATGTTCACTACCTTATCTGAGGATGCTTCCATATTAATGTAATGAACAAAATATGAATCTCATTACTTGAAGATGTTTCCATATTAATAAAGGTTTATTATAAAACAAATCATGGCTTTGCTGTTCTGAAGAAGATTTTTCTTGTATATCCCTATACAACTTTGATCCATTATAATGGTCCCACCCTATCCTCAGGGGTAATTGCAATGATTTGAACAAACTTGAATCGAGCATGCAAGTTGAGGATGCTTCAATTATTGATAGGAATTATAATTGCTTAGTTTGCTGTTTTTTGAGATTTTTAAAGATTTTTTCTAGTGTATTCCCATGTAAAATTTTGACTGACCATTCAAGCCTCTACTTGCACCGGGGGTCATAATATGAGCAAACATGATTCCATATTACATGAGAATGCTTCCAATTTTTTTTTTTGGCATTAAGGTTGCTTTTTCTGTTCTTAAGATGAAGATTTTTTTTCTCAATATTCCCAAATAAAATTTGATAACCCCCTGTCCCAATCTTGCCAGTTTATATTCCGCGGTCTCAAATTATAATCTACACTACCTGAAGATGACCCTGCCTCCAAGGTCATGATTGGAACAAACTTGAATCTGCACTTCCTGACAATTAATATAATGCTTCTATATTTTTAACATCAAGGATTTGCTGTTGTTAAGAAGAATTTAAAAGTTTTCTTCTTGTTGTTTCAATGTAAAATTTGATCCTCTTGGGTCCACAATTAAAAAAAAAATGAATCCAAACTATGTTAAGAACTTCTTGTTCATGTTTTATGTCTTCTGGCCCAGTGGTTCTTGGGAAGAAGAAATTTTAAATGACCCAGTCTGATTTTGCCTTTTCTTAGTTATATCTCTAAAGAAAGCGATATCGACCTTTATTTGAACAGACTTGAATTTCCTATCCCTAAGATACTGTGGCAAGTTTGATTAAAATTGGTCCAATAGTTCTTAAGAAAAGTTAAAAATATGAGAGCTTACGCACGATCGAGACAAAGCGTTAGCCCCCACGATGACGGACAAAAACAGATAGCAATAGTTCACAGGTGACCTATTGCTATATTTAAAATTAATGTTTGAAGATATTACAGATTCCTAAAAAAGAATGAATGTTTTAATCCAGTAAAAATTACTTTACCGACAGAGTACACATTCATGGTGTCTTTCCCTCCACAGAAAAATGTACCATCACATGGAATGCCACATAAATTGGCATCTACCGTCTCCATGGAACTCTCGATATCGTCTGGACAAGCACATTCCTTATCCTACAATCAAATAACATATTAACCTTTCCTCTTGTAAAGGAAAAAAATCTATAAAATCAAATCGTGATTTAGAAATATTTTGATGCATTAATTAAGTTAAAAATCCAAAAATCTATACATGTTTTACCATGACAGCAAACAAAGATGAAGAGGAACACATATCATGACAATCCAGTATTGAGGGATTAACTAAACTTGAGAAGTTTAAGCTTGTTGTATTTCGGAAGCAACCTTTGAAGAAATTACAAAAAAATACAAAATGGTTGAAAAGGAAAATATACAATAATATTAAATGTTCAATGATCATGAACAATTAATAATATCAAATGGCATTTACAGATGCACAAGGAAACAAAAGTATATTTCCCCCCTTTTTTTAAAGACATGTATAGTGTACATGTATATTGTGCTAAAGATTTGCATGTATCTAAAAAAAAATTAATGCATAAAGAAAATAAAATTACATAATGATTTTACTTTCATCGCAAAATGATTGAGTACTGATGAATTGATGTCAAAGACTTTACGATACAGAAATTGATCTTTATTAAGCCATTTCATGATATATTAGCTTACCTTTTATTGATATATAAGGGGTTGCATATACATAAGAACTTGTCCATAATTTTTCAGTGCTTTGGTTACACGTCCTTATAGATGTTACATCTTTGTGGCTGAGGGCAGACAGCACTGAATTATTCCGTTCGCAAAAATCAAGTGCTTCAGTCCATGTCATTTTCTTTTCTACGTAGATATACTGCTTCTCTAGATCTGAATATATTAAATAATTAAGGAATAACTGTCTAATTTTTGGGATTCATGATGTGATCAATCGAGTAGCTTGCGTGATATTTACATACTCCTGATTCCGCAAATCTACGCGCTAATAGCCCCGCTTCTGTCTCTATTTGTCCCTCTCTGATTTTTTTAACCGCGCCTATCGATGAACCTGTAGATTTATGTAGAATAAAGTATTTTTACAATTTGTAATTTTATCACATTGGAAATTTAAATATTAATGTTCCAAATGAAATTTAGTATAAACAAGAAGCCACAGCGCTCACCTGAGTCAATATGGCTTTGTCATGATTTGAACAAACCTGAATCTACGCTACCTGTGGATGCTTCTATATCAACATGTCTCATCATAGCTATGTTGTTATTGAGAAGAAGATTTTTAAAGTGTTTTCCTATATTTTCCAATGTTAATCGTTGATCCTTAATTGTAGCCCCACCCTATCCCCAGGGGTCATGATATGTATGAGTTGAATCTACAATATCTGCAGATATGACTAATCAAATCTTTATTGTGCTTAAGAATACGGTTTTTAAAGATTTCTCCTAATGTAAATATTCCTGTGTATAACTTTGATCCCCATTGTGGCCCCATTCTACCCCCGGGGTCATGATTGAACAAACTTGTATCACACTAATTGAGAATGCTTCCATATCAATATGACTAAACATGGCTTTGCTGTTCTTGACATGAAAATTTTTAAAGATTTTTCCTATATATTCCTATGTAAACATTGATTTAACATTGTGGTCCCACCTTACCTACGGGATCCTGATTTGAACAAACTTGAATCTACACTACCTTAAGGTGCTTCTATATCAATATGACTTATCACAACTTTCTTGTTTTTGAAAAGAAGATTTTTAATGATTCGTATGCAAAAATTTGATCCACCATTTTGGCCCCATCCTACCCCTGGGAGTCATGATTTGAAAAAAATTAATCTAATCTATGTATTGAAGGTTTCTCTTAAGTTTCAATTTTTCTGGCTCAGTGGTTCTTGAGAAGATGATTTTTGAAAGAAGACACCAAATTTTAACTAATTCTTAATTATCTTCCCATAAAAAGGGCATGGCGCTTCATATGAGCAAATTGGAATTCCCTTTATTCAAGGATGCTTTGTGGCAAGTTTGGTTGAAAGTGGTCTAGTGGTTCTTGATAAGAATCGAAAATGTTAAAAGTTTACACACCGACAGACAGACAGACGGAAAAACATCTAGACGGACAACAGACAGCCGGACGCCAAACAAAATGTGATTAGAAAAACTCGCTTGCTGCGGTTAGAAAAAAAAAGGAAAATTGTGCCTTGATAGTATTTAATGTCATGAAGAATTTTTGAGTCAAGTCAGAGTAAAAAAGAATAGATATGGGTTACCCCATATCCAAAGATATTCGACTTTTAGATTTAATATGCTTATCAGTGTTTATAATGACGTTAATAAAAAAACTGCAATGTCTAGGGCCTAGTTATGGAACTGGTGTAAATTTCGTGAGCATGGTGAGGTCACCCAGTCTCCTAACAAACGGTACACATAGGCCTACATGAACCTGTGTCCGCAAGACCAACATTAGCCTTGATCTACACACGTGCGATGGAGCTGTTAAACGCATCCAGCGAGCTCGGAGGAACACGTTTTGTTTTGCCGAGAAGTTACGATGGCAGACAAAACTTTTCTTTTCTTAATTAGATCATATGAATACGAATTCTGATTAATAAAAATTATACAATCCCTGTTGAACTATATATAGTTTGTTCTAACATTTGCATCTGCAACAACTTGTGTTTAAAATGGCCGTGTTAGGAAAATCAAGACCGGATCGGAAAATTCTAAACTGAAAACCTTTTTTGTTTTGAAAATTACTGAAATATGCTAATGTATTCGTCGCAGATATTACTTACATTATTCAAGTTCTATATAAAATGGTAAGCCTATGCTGAACTCCAACACGAACCCGAATGTCCGACCCAGTTCTCGTTTTGCCACACATTTTATCCCCTACAGTTTACAAAGTGTACACACGTGAGCAGAATCCAGCCAGGGATTGAAAATTCCGTCATTTAATAATATACACACACAGAATGATTTATTTTTTCTTAAAAGGAAATTGTATGATAATTAACAGACTATAAACATGTACTTAATACAATTGTTGATATAGTATTATCAATTCATCGGTGAAAAAATATGAATCGAAGAATGACCTAAATATTCTCTATTATCAAACATGTAAAAAAAAAAAAAGGCTGAGGAGGGAGCGAGCGTAGGAATATTGATATTTTTTATTTGCATTTCGGGGGGAAAGTGATTTTCTAATAATATTTTGACGTTATTTTTGATTTCTTTAACGTATGAAATACACAACTTCACTCTTATCATGAACAATAATGTTGTATCTACTTAATCATGATGGAACTATTTTGGTCGGACCAATTTGTGTGAGCTGCCGCTGAAAACAATAATATATCTTGCAGAGATAGTATGCATTGATCGAATATATTAAAAAAAACCACTAGATTCTGTTCATGATCCACACGAATCGCAGTGATACTTAAAATTTCAAAACCCTATGTTTATAATAAATAATAACAAAGGATTTCCGGGATCTTGAAAGAACGAGGGCGCTTTTGATTGGCATTCGGCAGGAATCTTGGCGTAATTGAAAAGTGAAAATTTCATCGACATGTCACATGAAATTTTAACATTTTTTTTATTTTTCGGGTTCCTCTGCAGCAGGAAAGGGAAAAAAAACGAAAGTGAATTTTGATTTGCTAAAAAATAACCTACAAATTGGTTAAATCAGACATTTGTTACAAAATGGTACATTTTTAAACACGTCTTTCAAGAAATTTTCTATCTCTGGGTCTTCTCTCCTTGATTTTGAAAGGTTATTTTTGTACATTTAATTCAAAGAAACGAATACACATTTGTAAAAAATGGAGAGAAATCACAGAGACCATAAAAAATTAACATTTTCCAAAAAAATCGAACTGTGTAAATGTGGTGCTTCTTTGTCTTTTAAAATCACATTGTATACATGTACATGTAGCGGTGATAGCTCAGTAATGAACATTTTCGGAATCACGGACACCTGCATGACAACGTACTACGGACTGCGGACTTTACAGGGGAGGGAACATGTCAAGAGCGTAATTTAACGAATACACCTCTACGTATTGCATTTCTTTTTAAAATTGATAATTGCAATTCTACTATTCGAGTATAATATTATTATTAATTTTTTATGAAGATACAATTAATCTCTTGCAAACCTACAAAATTCTAGAGTATTTAAGCCTTCTTAACATTATTTCTTAGATAAACATGCATACTGCTTATTACCGGCCGCCAGGAGGCGGTCGGTTAGTTGATATGAAAGTTTTAAGTCGCCGTGCGTTTCTGCGGAGTTAGAACAATTTGAATAAAAATATTTAACATTCATATTATAGAATATTAAACAAAGATATTCTACATGTTTAACAAAAAGCACAATAATCATAAAATTAAAATTTTATATATAATTGGGTAAATATTTCATCCAATCCTGATTGACAAACTCTGACATTACTGGAGTGCGGAGAAAATTAGTACGAAGTGTCTTATGTAGGCATAGTCTAAAACAAAGACGACGTTATATATCAACAATTTTACTTTCTCTTTTTAAGCAGGCTAAACAGGATTTGTTGTACTTATTTTAAAATACCGTGTATATTCATACATTTCCTATGGAAATTTTTCAAAAATTTGATGAAATATTGATTTCTTAAAAGCACAGAATCGTACGACAATTTTGTCCAGGAGACTAGGATAAAGCGCGTTTTTACAATGTGCCAAGCATTTTCCCGCCACATCTCAACACCAAAACAAAGAGACTGAAAGAGAAGAAATGTAGTGGTGGATCTAGAGAGAGTTGGGGGGGTGTTAACATCCTCTAAGAGAGAGCGAGTAGCCCCACATATTTCATATTTGTTCCGTTTAAATTAAAGTAAAACTATAGCTAAGTTTAAAGTTTAGTTTTGTACTTTTATGTAATAATTACTTTAACATCGAACTTCCATCAGAGTTCGTTAGTACGAAACTGCGTGCAGAGACGCAGAGGTCTATATGGACAGTTTGCTTATACATATAATATTGTACATGCATTATGCATGAAGAAAATCGGCAATGTCGCATGCAAGTATTTCATGTCACGAGGATATTTTAACAGATAAATATAAGAAATTTTAAAAACAGATCACGCAAATTTCAGTTTCTATAATTACCTTATCAAAGGAAGAATTAATTGGTTTGCGGCCGATTTTTGACGCTTGTGTCAATATGTTTCTTGTTGTTTATCTAATCCAGAATATGTTGTTTATTTTCCAAACTTCTCAATCATATTTTTAAGTTAACTTCTCAATAACTTAACTTAAAAATATGATTAACATGATAAATAAATGATGGTATATTTCACTAAATTCTATTTTCAATTGTTGAGGATATAACTAATAAGTGATTTTACTCATTAAGTGTATTAAGGTAGACAGTGAATATCTATCACCTGAATAGGGTGTGTGTGCATGTGTGTGGGGGGGGGGGGATGGGGATGTTAGACTAAAATCAATTTATAGATGTTTATTTAATGAAAAACACGTATTAAAAAATGCACCCTCTTTTATCTAACCAGTTGAACTAAAATGAATAAAAAGAAGCATTTTAGAAAACGATTCGTATTAATCCAAATCTAACCAGGGGATTTTATTATTATAAAAACGTTCTATTTCTGTGCGTGTGTTAGAGTTTTATAAATATCTCCAATTTATTTTCATTCAATTTAATGCTTTAAATTTTAACAAAATTTTTAAAATTTGCTTACAGAAGTTGATTTAAAGTGATTTTAGCCCCCCCTTAATGTTTAATGCTTGAACTTAAGAGAAAAGGGCCTTTTTATTCACGAAATCAGTAACTGAATTCGGCATCATTTGGAAAATAC